AGAAATTTACCATTGCCTTAAAAAGGAATCTGAAACTACAAATGGGATAAAACAATCCTCTTCTAGTCTTTGATCTTTCTTCATCTTTTATTCCTCGTTCCAAAAAAAAATGAGTAATTTAAAAAACATAAAATTCAAATGTACTACATTTTTAATCTGAAAAAAAAAATACTCAGAATTTGGATGTTCCCTAGCTTTCACAGATGTGTGACTGTTTACTTAAAAATCCATTATTTCACTCTGAAAATACACCATTTTCATTTTTCTAATAACTGTACCTTTCTTTAAAAGAAGAAAAATAGCCTTGATTAAGCTTTGACTTTTATAACAACTCCTATTGGCTTAATTCCCCAACTTTCAATATGGTTTGCCTGATTGTACTAGAGAACTAAAATAAAATTTTATGGTTGTTTTTAAAATGTTTTGCTTTCACACCAAGGATGAAAAACAAATACACCAAATGTGCAGACCCCACACTCCCTCTGGTGGTCCTTCACTCTCATTAACCAAATCCAAAAGACTATAAGGAAGTATGCACAAAATGCAAGTCAGTTCTCATAACAAATTGTAAGACATACAACTTATTTTGAGTACTGAAATTTTAGTGTTCTAAATGTTGCTAAACTACCTTTAGAGCCAGGCATGGTGGTCCACACCTATAATTTCAGCAACTCAGAAGGCTGAGGCAAGAGGATCACAAGTTTGAGACCAGCCTCAGCTACTTAGCCTGACCTTGTCTCAAAATAAAAAATAAAAAGAGCTGAGATGCAGCTCRGTGGTAAAAAGTACTTGGGTTCAATCTCCAGTATGGGAAAATAAAATAAAATAAATAGAATATAGTAATCTATTAGCTACAATCTGTTGATAAACTGTTAAAATACATGGCCCTACAATCAATCATTTTTACCTGTCTCATTTGCAGAACTGCTTTTTACACAGTAAATAAATATCTTATTTGCAAATTAAATCACACTTAAGGGGCCGTTTTAAATCAGTAGTTTGTGATCTGCATATCATTGTTGACTCAGTCTTTGATGCATGCGTATTTAATTTTCTTTACATATTTCAGGAAAATATCAGAATTTTAAAATGCAGTAGGGCTGGGGGACATAGCACACTGGTAGAACACTTTCCTAATTTGTGTGAGGCCTTGGGTTAGATACACCCTCCCCCCCAAAAAATAAAACTACAGTTATTTTTTAAATTAAAAAAATAAAAATGCACAAAAGTGCGGTTGGGTAGAGCATTTGCCTAGCATGCACAAGGCCCTGGGTTCAATTCTCAGAACCACAAACCACAAAGCAATCACTAAACCAAACTGTAGAAAAATTTGGAAATATCAATACCAAAAATCTAATTACTAGTCAGCTAAGTTGGAATGTTGAAATAGTTCCAGATTATAAAATGTAGATATTTAATTGTTCAGCATAAATTAATTATAGACAATTTTTTTTTTGCTGTACTGGAGATTAAACCCTGGGGGCGCTGTACCACAGAGTTCTGTATTCTCCCTCCTTTTTATTTTTTGAAATAAGGTCTGGCTAAAATGCCTAGGATGGCCTCAAACTTGTGATCCTCTTGCCTCAGCTTTTCCAAGCTGGGATTACAGGTATGCACCACCAGAAACTGCTAGAAGATATTCTTTTTTTTTTTTTTTTTTTTTTTGTACCAGGGATTGAACCCAAGGGTGCTTAAAGGTGCTTAACATCCCCAGCCATTTTTTTTAAATAGGGTCTCACTAGGTTACTTAAAGCCTCACTAAATTGCCAGAACTGCCTTCAAATTTGCAAATCTTCCTACCTCAGCCTCCAGRGCCACTGGGATTACTGGCATGCGCCATCATACCTGACTAGAGGATATTCCTAATGCTAAGTACAACAAGCATATTACTGTTATGTAAAGGAGTTTTAATATCTATAACAGTGTCATTTGATCTATTCTTGAATTTAAAGTCCTTGTTTTTTGTAGTTCAGTGGTAGTGTTTGACTACCATACATAATGGCCCAAGAGTCAATCCACAGGGAAAGAAAATTTACTACCACAACAGCCCCCCGAACTCAAAATGAGCCATATCTGAAGGTATATGCTTTAAAATGGTGCCAGTTTTTTCTTTTATATATGTGATAATCAACTTATGCTTAATTTTAAAATTAAAATATGGTTGATAATTTTTTAAACACTTATTTATTTATTTATACGTGGTGCTGAGAATCAAACCCAGTGCCTCAAAAGTGCTAGGCAAGCACTCTACCATTSAGCTAAAGCCAGAAGCCCAATTGATAATTTTATGATATGGTCTACCACAAGTTAAAATGAACAAAAATAAATAAAAATTTAATTCTAAACTGGGCTTTTAAGTGAAAGCACTTTTCTATCTAAAAACTTAAAATATGMTTTTTTGTAACTAAGTATATGAACTATAACTTTATAATGTGGCATACTCAAGCATCATCATCACAGGAAAAAGATTATGAACCCTCTGTTTACATACAATAATTTAAATTAATGTTAAATCATGGAATCAATTAAATCATCCCAAACAATGAAAGCCCCAGTCTTATAAGTTCCCTCCAGATACTTATGTAGAATAAACCCATTCAACATGAAGGAAAAAGTTATCTTCAACCAAATTGCTCTCATCAACTATCCAAAAGCCAACTCAGCCTAACTAACTAACCTCTTCTATAGGTACTCCAAAAGGATGCTCATTCTTTGGACTAATTCATCCTAATCTGAGAAAACTTTGGGAAACTAAAAAATCCAAAATACGCATTCTTTTCCAATCTAAATATAAACAGAAAATTGAAGATTTAATTAGTCATCTAACCCAATAGTCTTAAGATTTTCATGTTCAACTGATTAAAATTATGTTCTAAAAGAAATCCACCCCAAATTCCCATAACTAAAAAAATTAAAGACTAAAAAACGGGACTGGGGTTGTAATTTAGTGGTAGAACACTTACCTAGCACATGTGTGAGGCACTGGGTTTGATCCTCAGCACCACATAAAAATAAACATATTGTGTTCAACTACAATTAAAAAAAAATTAATTAAAAAAAAAAGATTAAAAAACATTTGTTAATGTTGGAATGGCAAAGACCTCATAACATAAAAGTTTGTTGTTTTAGAGAAATAAAACAATTTACAAAGACTGTCTTAGATTTTTTAAATCTCAAATAAYGAAAACTAACTATTAGCTAATTCTACATGGTAAAAAKGTAAAATTACCATTCGATTAAATCTGAATAAATTAGCATGGTTAAATATTAACTTTGTTCTTAGAGAAGTTAACTTCTCTGAAGTATAAATCATTTGCAATATGGTTACAAATAACACATTAGAAAAGAAAAATGGAGTAAATTAAATCAAGTGTTTCTCACAAATGACAACTATAAGCCTCCTTTTAAAAGTAATTTTCAAAATATACTATTTCTACAGAATCACTTAATTAGGGCCATAATTGTAGATTGTTAGGCACAGGTCAGTTGGGAGAGAGACAAACAGAAAATGGTAAGTGAAAGCATGACAGAACAAGAACTTCCCACCAGAATAAGAATTTTTTTTCAAGTCAATTATTGAATTTTGATTCAGATACCATGAAAGGCTGCTACTATATTCTCTAAAAACCCTAATGCAGAAGGGGGGCAGAACTCCCACACACTATTAAAAAATCCTTAACCAAATTATGCCTTAACTTTTCCCTTTTCTACAACCTAAGAAAATGGAAAAACAATGAAAATAAACACACCCGTCTACTCTCAGGCAAAGAAAGCTCCCATTCAATGCTAAGCTTTATTCCACTGGAAACGTACTCCTAAAAAGTAAATCCAAAACCASGAGCACAAAATGCTTCATGCAGAATTTACTGAATGGCGGCCAATCGCTGTACACGCTGTCCTGAGCCACACTGAAGGATATCTAGAGCTCTGCGTTCTCCTCTTACAACTTGTACCTTACAGTCCATTCGCCAACACTGCAGAACCCGATTTTTAAAATGCGACTAAAATGTTCCTCCTGGCCCATCAATAGGAAAAAAAAGCAATCTACACCCTGATCGTCAAAAAAACATTGGCAGCACTGGTTTTTAGGCGATACACTATCGTCAGCACACCTTTTTAGACGATMGACAGGGCAGGAGTTACAACGTCCTTGGGCTGAAGTGAGTAAGCACCCCTAACACAACTTTTAACTGGCTTTCTGCTAGCACTAGGCTAATGCAGATCACCTGTTAGAACGACTCACACGCACACCCTCAACAAGTGGCGAAGAGCGGCGATGCGGTTCCCTGTCACTTGTCCTAAGGCGGCAGGTGAAGGCGGTGAACGCCCATCCACACCCATCGGCCGGCCACGGCAGAGGCAGCAAACAGCCCCGGGACGCTCCGTTATCCTCACCCTCCCGGGCCCGCCAGGTGAGCAGGGCTCCATCGCCCGCGGCGTCCGGCGCTGGGCTCAGCCGGGCTCGACTTCTCGGGCCGTCCGGGTCCCGGAAGGCGAAGTTTCACTCCCGCCCGCGGCGTGGCTGCTCAGGCGCCGCCCGGTTCTCAGAGGGTCCGGCCGCCCGCTCGGAGCCGCTGCGGTCACTGCCCGCCGGGCCTGGAGCGAGTCCTGGGCCGCCAACCAGAGCCGGAGCGAGACCTGTCACCCGGGCGGGAAACAAAAGCCGAGGACTAGCGGACGCGACCGGCCTCGCCTCGGTGAGGGGGAGCGCGGCGGGGGCGGGGAGCGGCTCCGGCGGCCGCCCCGCTCCGCGCCTCCGGGAGAGAGCCCCGGCCCCGAKGCCCCTGAGGCGCGGCACGGACCCCGCAGTGCGGCTGGGCCTCCCGCGCGCTCACCTCGAGGCTTCCCGGGCCCGGTTCGCCCCTACACGCTGCTCGGGTTGGGGAGAAGCGCGAGGGGGCGGGGAAGAGAGCGACCGCGACGGGACCGGGAAGGAGGGAATTCGGTTTTTGGGGGTGCCACGGCCGCCCGCCCCACCCCTGCAGCCATGGCTCCTGTACCTGTCGCCGCGGTGGCTCGCCGGCTCCGTCCCTCTTTGCCTAGCCCGCGCCCCACTCACCCCTCAGCCCGCCCAGCAGGCCGCCCGCGCGCCGGACAACGCCGCCTGAGACTGGCAGCGCCCGCGAGCCGGCCCGAATCCCCCSGGCAGCGCCCGGCGCCGTCCCGCCCCCGCCGGCCGCAGGACCCGCCTTCCATAGGGCCCTAGGGCTGTCAGTCCGCCCCCAAAAGGCGCGCGGGCTGCCGCTCCGCCTGTCCGGATTGGTGGCCTAGCACCATCCATGCAAATGAGACCCCGCCCATGTTCATTTGCATCTCCTCCTCCCCACATCAGCCACGTGTCTGGCCCTTGCCCTTTGTGGGGGCCGCAGAAAAGGGATGCAGGAAGCTGACCAACACCCCCTCACATCATCCCTTACCTCCAGAGAAACTAATGTCTAAACAAGCTACTTGACTTCATATCTGCAAGGTCTCCCTGAAGGCTCAGCCCCTCCCTTCGATTCACCAGGCCTGCCCTGGGGCTGGAGCCTCTGGCCAGTCTTCCCCCAGGAAACAACTCCATGATGCTCAGTGGGGTCAGGGGAAATCCCACCGTGGTAATCACTTTAACTCATAGTACCTCCCTCTGGGCACCAGTGACCTTGAAGACCATACTTTCCCAAGGCTCTCTACTTGTCAAACATGATATCCCAGGCGGCTAAGACAGCAGTGGGCCTTAAAATGGCTGTGTTCTTCCCCCAACCCAACTCCAAAGGGTAGGCTGCTGAGCTCAGCTTCAAGATGACCACCCCCTTAGATGGCCTTAGGGAATCTAGTTCGACCCCCAGGAAACAGAAACCTAAAGTTCCATAGCTAGTCACTTATGGAACACRCTAGTTATCTGTGAAAAYCTAATATTTCATGGCCAGGTTAGAAACCATGTCTCCTGCTGCCGTGTGTTTTTTTTTTTTTKTTTTTTTTTGTGTGTGTGTGTGTGTGTGTGTGTGTGTGTCTCGGGATTGAACCCAGGACCTTGTGCATGCAAAGCAAGCACTCTACCTACTGAGCTATAGCCCCAGCCCCGGAAATCTGCTCTTTTTGCGCAGTCACACTCAAGAATTTGCGAAGAGTCTCTTCTACAAGTCACCATACTAGGTGGTACTGTAATCATTCATTCCCTGCTTGTAGGAGGTGATGTATACAAAAAAAAAAAAAAAAAAGAAGAAGTCAACGCTGAAACATCCTCATGGGCAGGTCCTGTTTCAGTCATTTGTCTATCCTTAGTGCCTAAAAGCTTTCCTTTTACAATCTGCAAGGGAGAGTAATTGGAACAATTTATTTGTGCATTAATTCAGCAACACAACGTTGATCATAAGTGATCTACTATGCTTACTAAGAGCAAGTATTAAGCATTGTGCTGTGCAGGGTATACGGAAGTGAGAAGACACTGTAACAGTTTTCCATGGCTTCAGCCTAAGAGGGATATCCGCATCACATTTCAGTGCTCCTTGTGTTACAGGGGTTTTGACATGTCTGCACAGGGCACAGTGGAGGGCTGCATGGAGGGAGGAATCGCAGGGAGGGCTTCACTAAAGAGGTGACACTAGAGTCAGCTCTTAAAAGGTGAAGTAGATATTTGCCCATCAGAGGGTGTGGGTGGTTTAGGAAAGGGACTCCCAGCAGGGAAGGATAGCTTGAGCAAAAAGCATGCAGACCCGGAAAAGCCTAGTAATTGAAGGAACATTGAGGAGCATTGTGGGCAAATCTGCAGGGTTGTGTGGACATGTTACATGCTCTAGGACCAGGCTCTTCCAGGAGGAAGACAGAAAAGCCCAGGAGGCTGCCAGGCTGTGTTGTAACATACCTTAGCAAACAACAACAGGCCCAGCTGCAACCTTTCTCCCCCCCCCCCTCCCCAGGCCAGAGTCTTTGGGGAACAGTCAGTTCTACAGTTTTGATGTCTGTTCTACAGCCTGGCTAGCTCCACCCACTCCCCCAGAAAACTACCCTGACCACGATACTTGCCCTTCTCAGCATTTGGAAGTATGTGTGCTTGAATTTTCCCTAAACATCACTGCCTTTCAGAATTCAGAAATGACATGGGCTATGGCTGCAGACACCTGCATGTGGGATGAGCAGTTCTTTCCTAATGCATGGAGCAGTTCTTTGCGGGGCCTGTCACCAAGCCTGGCTTCATGGGTATGTGACCTTTGCACTGACACAAAGCCCCAGTTTTGGAGGGGTCCTGTTTGGGATTTAATTCTCTACTCTTGCCATCTTGAAATACTTAGTAATTTTTTCAAGAAGGGGCCCTGAAAATTATATAGTCCTGTCTGTCATTTACTACCCCGGGCATGCTTGTGATATCACTCAAACCACATCTCATTTTTAAAGCACTTGGCATTCACTAGGTTTGTTCACATGCCTTGTGCTACTTGATTCTCAAAATGGTGATGTGGGATGGGCTGGCATTACTTTTTATTCTTATTTATTAAATGAGAAAACTGAAGTTTGGCAACTCTCTCCAGATGGCCCAACTAGAAAGAGGCAGAGCTTATGCTGAACTCAGCACACCCAAGTCCTATTTCACACACTATGGAGCTACCTCTATCTTGGTTTCAGAATCCTTTCAACAGCAGCTTTGCAGCCTAAGGATATACCGTTTTAAGAGTCAGAACACAAGCTGGGTGCAGTGACTCACACCTGTAGTCCCAGTGGTTTGGGAAGCTGAAGCAGGAGGATCACAAGTTCAAAGCCAGCCTCAGTGATGGTGAGGCACTAAGCAACTCAAAATAAAATAAAGATGTTGTGTCTACTGAAAAATAAATGTTAAAAAAGTTCTCTCTCTCTCTCTTCCCTCTCTCTCTCTTAAAAAAAAAAGAGAGAACACATGTTAAAGTAGATAACTGTAATATCACAACTATTACCTTTTTAATATTTTTCATCGGTTTTGAATAATTTCAGCCATTATATGTTTAAATACTGTTTCTGTCCCTTTTTCTCTTTCTGTGTCTCCAATTGAAACACATAGTTGACCTTCTTATTTTACCACTTTATTCTGCATCTTCTATCTTTTGTCCTTCATGATTTGTTCTAAGCATCTTCTATTTTTCAGTTCACAAATTCTCTTTTTCAGTTTTGTTTTTTAATATCCTCTTAAATCTACTCATTAACTCCATTTGGTTATTCTGTTTTAGTTCTAGAATTTCTGTTTGGTCCTTTTGTTAATATTTATTTTTTAGTTTTAAGTGGACACAATATCTTTATTTTACATTTATGTGGTGCTGAGGATCGAACTCAGTGCCTCAAGTATGCTAGGGGAACACTCTACCACTGAGCCACAACCCCAGGGCTGCCACTGCCCCCCCCCCCCGTGGTTCTTTTTTTAATATATATATTTTTATTTGTTGATGGACCTTTATTTTATATATTTATTTATATGCAGTGCTGAGGATTGAACCCAGTGCCTCACACATGCCAGGCAAGCTCTCTACCATGGAGCCACAACCCTAGCCCTGTTTGGTTCTTTTTTATATCTGCTATGCCACTTATRATATTTTAAAACTTAGTTTTTCTCTTCTTAAACATAGTAAACATGGTTGTTTCATGGTCTACATCTGATTCTCCACTGTCCATTTTGTTTTGGTTTGGTTTTGGTTTGGTTTTGGTACTGGGAATTGAACCCAGGGGACCCACTGAGCTACATCCTCAATCCTTTTTAAAAGGTTTTTATTTTGAGACAGGGTCTTGCAAAATTGCAGAGGCTGGCCTCAAATTTGTGATCCTTCTGCTCCAGCCTCCTGAGTCACTGGGATCACCAGCATGTACCACCATGCCTAACCATTGTCAGTTTTTTGTTGTTGTTGTTGTTGTTTTTGAGAGAGAGAGAGAGAGAGAGAGAGAGAGAGAGAGAGAGAGAGAGAGAGGGGGAGAATTTTAATATTTATTTTTAGTTATCAGCGAACACAACATCTTTGTATGTGGTGCTGAGGATTGAACCCAGGCCACACGCATGACAGGTGAGTGTGCTACCGCTTGAGCCACATCCCCAGCCCCAACATTGTCAATTTTAACCACTGGTTCTTCCTTGTGTTTTTTCTCCTTGTGTACCTTGGTTCTGTTTTGGGTATTGTATTTGAAAAAAAAAAAAATTCAAAGCAATGATATCTTCCTCTGGAAAAGATTTCCTTTGTTTCTGCCTGGCATCTGAAGGCACTAGCAGAGATCACCTTAACTCAATTTCAGGCCTCCAGATTTTCTGAGTCACCCAGAAGACTTGAAGCTGGGTTAGGGTCTATGGGACTTTTTGTTTATTTATATTTACCACTTACTTAGTGGTACAGYTTTTTAGGGTCCCAACTTAAGATTGAGAGTTGTTTTAGTTATGAGTTTCTCCATAGCAAACTCTTCATAAATTTAGTGGTTTAAAAACAGATGTCAGCAGACTTTTTCTTAAAAAGCCAGATAGGACATATTTTAAGCTTACAAGCCAAATCACCTCTGTCACATTTACTCAACATTGGCATTATAGCACAAAGCAGCCATTAGTATTCATAAATGAATGGCATGGCTGGGTTCCAATAAAACTTTATTAATAAAAAAAAATAGGCAGCCATCCTCAGCCTTAGGGCATCTGTGGAAAACCCACAGCTACCATCATGCTTAATCATGAAAGGCTGATGCCAGGAAACAAGACAAGGACAAAATTAAGTATGTCCACTTTATGAAGAAGAAGGAGGAGGAGGAGGAGGAGGAGGAGGAGATGCCCACCTTAAAAAAAAAATATGCCCACTCTGACCACTTCTATTTAATATTACACTAGAGGATCTAACCAAGGCAATTGGGCAATATATACAAATAAAAGGTACACAAACTGAAAAGAAAGAAGTAAAACTGTCTCTCCTCAGACATATGATCTTGTGTATAGAAAAGCCTAAGGAATCTATTAACCCACTATTAGAACTAAAAAGCAAATTCAACAAGACTACAAGATATAAGCTTAATAACATAAGTCAAATGCATTTCTGCATACTTAACAATGAATAATCGAGGAATGAAATTAAAAGAACAATTTCTTTTATAACATCCACAAGAATAAAATATTTAAGAATACAAGGGCTGGGATTGTGGCTCAGTGGTG